GAGAGGTGGAGCAGCTTTTCTTGCCCCAGAGGATGGGGGCGGCGGGACTGCAGCGCATCTGGGCGTCCTGCCACTCCAGTCCTCCGGGGTGAGAAAAGCCCCGTTCATAACTGCAGATCCGACATAAGTCGGATCCGCGTAACTCGGGGACTGCCTGTACTCCCGCTATGGTCAGCAGTTTTGAAAGTGCCTGTTTCAGTGTCTGCAGTCAGAATCATTATATTCTAATGGATATTGACTCAGTAGCATTTTTCATTTTGAATGAACCATGCAAGGTATTTCAAAAGACTGTTTTAATTCATTGGAAAAGCTATCAGCCTCGTACTGTGTTGTGATGGAGAGAGTGATAAATAAAAATTCTTTCATGCAATTCTATCATGTATCACAACATAATCAGGAGGCTTAATATTCATCCCAGATTCTGAATGCAAGTAAAATCCACACTTTAAAATAAAATAAAATAAAATAAAATAAAAAGGGGAGACAAGCATTAAATACAAAAAGAGAATAGAAGAGTTGGTCAGATATTTTTGAATTTTGGCATTTTGTTGAGCAGTAAAAAAATTTCACATCTTCAAATGTAGGATTTTGGAGGTAGGAAAAACCAAACTTCCAATGACATTTTCACTTTTTGAGCAGAAAATAGCTCCAGCCAAGTCCAAAGCTAACAGAGTACTATAGCTCCTTCAACCTAAAGTAAACTAGTCCCAACTGCCAGAGATGTATTTATCACCATTCAGATCTAACTTCTCTTAGGTTGAGATTCAGGAAAGCACATAATTAAAGCCCATTACTATCAGTGGGGCAACACACTTACAGCTAAGCATATGTGTAGGTGCTTTTCTGAGTAGGGATGGGTTTAAGCATGTTTTAAATGTCTGAATAGTTAATCCTCGCTCATACAAATTATCATTCAAATTAAATGGAAATCTTTGCTTTAATGTGCCCCAAAATGGCAGAGAATAAAGATATCGATGCCAGCTATAATCTTAATAAAGGAAATAATTGTGGTAAGTGTGGAATCTGTCAGCAAATGTTCATTATTAAATGGAGACTACTATACTTGGAATAAGCAAACAGGAAATTAAGTGTTTATTACAAAAACAATAATGATGAAAAATTTCCTAATAATATTAATTCCAAAAGCTTTTGTCAATTCTCAATGCCACTGATCTTGTCCAGAGATGTATTTATTAACATCTGGATCCATCTTCTTCCCTTTGACTGTGATACAGGGAAGCACATACTTAAGTCCCATTGCTGATAATTCAACAACACCTTTACAGATAAACATATGTGTTGAAGAGGTAATCCTCGCATGCTATCATTAAATGGAATTACATTAAATGGAAATCTTTTAATGTGCACCAAATTCAGTGAATTAAGTGACCAATTTTATAATTGATGAGGTGTCATACTGTGTAAATAAATAAGAATAGATTTTAATTATGGGCCTTAATTAGGATAATCCTGGTTATGGGACAGGCTTATTTCAGGGAAGAATTTTAACTCCACCATTCCCAAACAGGGTATTTCAAGCACTGAATAACATAAAAGCAAATTGCATATTTTAGTTCTTATTGTGGATATTTTTAAAGATTTGCATGGTTGTCACATTGAGCCTATTGTTATTCTTAAATGAAACATTGCTGAAGTTTACCTGCAGATTCCGACTTATTGTAGAATGTAACATTCATTTCGTTCCCAGCATGCCATTTCACTGGGATATTCCATGTGTAACTGAAATTGTTTTAAATGATAAAAAAATAGCTTTTGAAAGAGAATCTAAAATAATGCACTTAAAACATTATTTTTATAAATTATCATTATTAATTATACATTTATTGTAAAACTTATAGAATCCAGTTTTATTGCACTAGGCACCTCATGAACTTATTTCTTTGTAGTCGATTTATAAATACCTGACCATCTATATCTATATATCTACTAATGTATGACTAAATACCACAGCTAACAAATCTTGGTCTTTTACCAACAGCTTGATATTTAAATATAAACTGCATCAGGGCATCTTCCTGGCAAAAGAAGTTTACAAATATATTGGATATAGGCAAGCTAAAATAGATACTTAGTTATTTTTATTGGACAACCCTGAAGAATTAGGACAATATTCCATTTCTAAGTTAAAATAGAAGGTTTGAAGTATCTGATAGCATTTCTCTTTAGTTATGGAGAATAGCAGTAATTAGTCTCTCAAACTCTAAACTGTATGTACCATGCTTCTGGGAGGCTGAGCACAGTACTGAGCAAATGGATTACTGATTTTTAGTCTAAACTCTGTCACTGTCAATGTGTGATACAGGGCATTAGGCAAGTTGCTTATGCCCTGATTTAAGAAGGTACTTAATCACATGCCTAGCTTTATCTATGTGAAGTTTCATTGACCAAGCCATTTTTTCTGAAATCCATGGAAGGGTATCCCTGCTTAAAGTTAGCCTGTGTTAAGTTCTTTTCTGAATGGGGGCCTTCCCAATTCTGTGCCTTATTTTCCCCATCTATAAAATAGGAATGATCATAACTCAAGATCAGAGGCGTATTTTATAGACCAGCTACTTTCTGTACCATTATGTAATTTGTAAATGTGTTTATTATAATTATACACAGTCATTCTTCTGACTTTACTGCATTAAACCTAGGATAAAAGGAAAGGTAGCTTCATTCTAGCAAGTAAAAAAATAAAGGATGTGGTGTCTCTTTGCCACCTACCAGGAGAAAGGTCAATTCTAGCTTTACATTTTTAAATTAAAACATTAAGGCTATGTCTACATAGCCTTTTCCGTTAAAAGCATTTTCGGAAAAGCGCGTCTAGATTGGCAGGACGCTTTTCCGGAAAAGCACTTTTTCCAGAAAAGCGTCCGTGGCCAATCTAGATGCGCTTTTTCCGCAAAAAAGCCCTGATCGTCATTTTCGCAATTGGGGCTTTTTTGCAGAAAACATTACTGTGCTGTCTACACTGGCCCTTTTCCGGAACAGATTTCTGGAAAAAGACTTTTGCCCGAACGGGAGCAGCATAGTTTTTCCGGAAAAGCACTGATGATTTTACATTAGATCGTCAGTGCTTTTCCGGAAATTCAAGCGGCCAATGTAGACATCTGGCAAGTTTCTCCAGAAAAGCGGCTGATTTTCCGGAATAACTTGCCAGTGTAGACACAGCCTAACCGAATTTTACACTTCTAACTTTTATTATCTGTGTTTTGGAGAATTATTGTCATGGAGTTTTAAAGGATCATTGCTTGGCCAGAGGGCACCAATAGCCTCCACAGGCCCTTGGTTAAGGTGAGGTGAGCTCCCAGCTCTGCATTCTTAAATGGGATGGAGCCTAGAGTGGAGGGGCGGGCCTGGGGAGCAGCCAGATTTCAGCACTCCCCAGAGCGTGGCACTGGGCTCCCCACCTCCAAACCCCTTAATGCAATGGGGACTGGCACTTCAGCAGTGATATAAAGGGCCCAGGGCACAAGCCACTGCCATGGTGGCTGGAAGGAGTACAATTTTCCAGTACATTAGAAATGATAACTGTGGCCCCTTGGGTGTGGGGGGCAGTACCTGCAGATGCTTAATATAAACAGCCTGACTCGTGTCCTACCAGCAGCTTATCCTGATGGGCCACAGTCCGCAGCTTACCTACCATTTATCTATATACTTCGTCTATAGGACAGGCATGTACAGTAAAACCTTACCCAAGTGCAGAGGGTGGTTCGGAAGGATTTGCTGAGGGGTCCAACAGAAAACGTTTCTGTGTGATCTTTGAATTAGCTTCCACACTTAATACAGGGTATCCCATCTGCCTGGTCCAGGTGTCCATCACTTCCTTCACTGGATTTCTACTTGCCTAAGAGTAATAACAGATGGTCACTCTGAGGAAGCTAAAACGGACCGAAGAGGGAATAAAACTCTCATGCTGAGGGGATGGGAGACCAGAAAGGGAATAGGTCTCCCTCATTAATGTTAGAACTTTGTTCCTAACTATTCAGAAAATACGAGAGCAAGATTGGCTAAAAAGATTTTGTTTGTTGAATCCTTTCATGGTGCATGTAAGAAAGAGAGCAAGATTGGCTAAAAAGATTTTTGTTGAATCCTTTCATGGTGCATGTAATAAAAAGAAAGTAAAGAGCTGTGAACTGAGATGTTTTAATTACTCTTAAAGCAACAGGATTGCAGGAGGTCAGGATTCAAGCAGTAGGAAGGGCAAAGTATATATCTTGCCCCTGTGGTTTGCTCCTGTCTTCATACTTCAAGCTCTCATTATTTTCCTTGTCTGCTGCCTTCTGAGGAGGGAGTAGAGCACAGGATTGATTAGCTGAGTCTCAAGCACTGTTGGCAATTTCTTCTATAGCAGAATTCCCAAACTAAGGTCTGGGAATCCTCCTATAGAAGCCCACCCTTCCATGTGTTCTGAAGAGAGTTGAGTTGCTGGCTCCATCCTCCAAACAAATTCAGGAAGCTGTTTGTGGAAGGAAGGAGGAGCAGACAGTACTAGGACTGCTGTTAAATGGAGGAGCTGCCCCATCCTTTCCTCTTTACCTACAAGCTCTCGAGTGCAGCTGAGTCTCAGTCTGGGACCATGGGACTTTGCCATGCCCCTCCAACCTCCTATGTGCTGGATGGAAAAGAGCCAGGTTTAAGGTGTTATTCTCCAGGTCCAGAAGTTACTGTGAGCAGCAAAGATGGAGAACAGAGCAAGAAGAAAGCCAGGCGGGGCAGGAAATAGACTGGGACAAGGTGGAGGACAGGAGGAGACACTAATCCAGAATTTGGGCAAAATAATTGTGTGGAACCTGGCTAGGACAGAAGAAGGCATGTGATGTCCAAATAAGGAGCTGGGAACTTGGGGAAGCAGAAAAGAGCTGGGCCGCAGGAGGCAAATGGGAAGCAGGATGGGAGGGAAGAGCCAGAACTTGGGAAGATGGAAAGAACCAAGGTCTGGTGAGAAATGAGGGAGCAATACGGATCTAGGATAGTTAAACTAGCAGTCATAGCATAGTAAGTGCTTAGATCAACCAGGGGTACATATGCCTTTGGGATTAGGCAGAGGTTTTCCAGGGGGTACATCGAGTCATCTAGAGATTTACCTAGTTTTGCAACAGGCTACATAAAAAAAAAAAGTGAAATCTGTTCCAAGTAAAATTTCATTCCGACATTGAGTTGTTTGTACTGCTCTACGTGCTATACACTGAAAAGTAAGTACAATATGTACAATCCAATTGATTAATAATTATATGGTATAATGAGAACATAAACAATTTTTCAATTATGGTTTGCTGTGATGCGTTTGAATTTCTGTGTCTGATTTTATAGGCAAGTAGTTTTTAAGTCAGACAAAACTTGAGGGTATTCAAGACAAATCAGACTCCTGAAAGTGATAGAGTAGTCTAGAAAAGTTGAAATCATTCGGTTTAGATAATATTGTGGTAAGTGCTATAGAAACTATTACTATAGAGAGAATAGTATTGGGGAATGGGAGAGTGAGTGAATATATGTGTGTAATGTATACATATTCATTAAGCGAAACTAATGTGGGCAGATGTGTAGGTTGGAAAGGTTGATGTTTCTTGTGTAAGTGAGTAAAGAGTTGCTTTGCTTTAGCAATTTCCTTTTACCTGCTTCCAGTTCCAGCCCGCTCCTTAGCAATTTTCCCATGCAAAATAAAATAAAATTAAAATTAAATGAATATTTGCTAGAGGGATGAGATTTGGAGTTTGCTGAGCTGGGGGAGGCTGCCTGGGAGATGACTTTGCTTCCAACAAGATATTTACAACGTGTTAAAAATTGAGGAAACCCTGCTCTGTAGGATGAGTACAGAAATCTATAATAGCAGGGTTATTATGCTAATAGCAGGGTTATTATGCTACTTATTACAGAGAATACCTGTGCCAGGGATTCCCAGAAATCATCTGTCTTTGCATTCTGGAATTGGTATTTAATTAGGTAGTCCTAGGAAAAGAGAGAAGGAAATATTTGAAATATTTGCATGTCGTCCTTCCACACCTGTCAAAACAATGTACATATTGTAATGTTAGTTGTTGTACAAGAATGCAGAATACTTTCCTAAGAGCACAAAGGCTTTCCGAGGTATGCAGATTGGTTTATTTCACTGCTTTCTGCACAGACAAAAAGTAGAAACACTTTCAAAAAACAGAGTTCACAGGCTGTTCTACAAAGTAGATCTCAGAGGTATCCTTACTCCTTCTTATGTAAATGCAGGTGGAATCAGTTGCTTCCTCTCTTCTGGCTTTAGAAAAGCCAGACGCATTGAGAAATGATTGCACACTGAATTATAAGGGGCCAAAATATTATCCTATATGACTCTCAAAAACAATTTCCTTGTCAAAATTTAGGGGGCATTGAAGATCTAAATGTCACCCAGGATGGCATGTGATTTAATTTATATACTGTCTGTAGGAGAATCCACTTCTTCCTTTAGGAACCTAAGCTCGGGTCCAATTTGTGTATAAAGTTTTATTAATTTGTATGTCTTAATTTAAAAACAAACTGGAATCAGCAAAAACGTATCTGCTCACTAATACATTTGAAAAGGAAAATAAAGTTTTCTCATCATCCCATTTGTGTGCATCTTCTGTAAATAAATGAAGCCATATATGTCCAATAAAGTTTCAATATTTTCCAAATAACAGACCTATTCCTAAGATAGGGATTCAATGTTTCCCAATATGATATATTAATGAGAAATATATTAATTCTTGGAGAGGGCCCTAGATTTTTTTCTTTATTGTTTCTTTGAGTGGACAAAATATACTTGTGTTTTAAGTTTCTGTCTTATTAAATATGTCACAAAAACAGAAAGTTAATTTATAAGTTTTTAAAATAGGAGATGGAAGCTGAACTATGATAATTTGGACAACCACATTCTATGATCAAAGTGTTCTTAAAGGCTTAAATAGGTTATTATTAGCTATCAGTTAATGATTTACTATTATGTTTAAATACTGAATGCTAGAACATGCTAATCCCCAGTTCAGTGATACTCTTAGACTATGACACAAGTAATATGCAATATTTTCTTTCCTAGCCTACTTATCAAGTATTAGGTATGTGGTGCTGTTTGTTTCAATCTCAGCCACAGGTACTTTGTATTTTTGTAGGGATGTGAATAAATGGCAAATATTTGTAATAGCAGCACATGCCTATAATATAGACTATGATGGACCTAATCTATAATACAGGCAGTTCTTGTAGAACTGTCTCTCTTGATTGTATAGAAATGTTTCAATATAATCAGTCAGCTGACCAGCCAGGATGCACTCTCTGCCACTTCGTATCTTAGCTCTGTCCATTCTAGCTTGGAAACAGCAATGAGATCACTAGCATAAAGAGGGCTCAGGCATCTCAATCACCATATTCAAAAGATGCTTTGAGGACTAGCTCAGGGGTGAGAGATTTATTGAAAAATGCCAGTGTAGCAACTCAGAATGTGGGGAGAAAAGAGAGAGGTGGTTTGTTTGAGGGTGGGGCTAGGGAGTTGGCATGGTTGGGTGTGGATATGAACATAATTAACAACCCAGACAACAAAGGCATTGTGATTAATTATTTAAAGATTTAAGAGGACAGCAGAATAAAATTGTGAGGAATGTAGAAGAACATAATTTGTTGGACAAAAGACAACATGGTTTCTGTAAAGGGAAATCATGTCTTACTAATCTATTAGGCTGTGTCTAGACTGGCAAGTTTTTCCGCAAAAGCAGTTGCTTTTGCGGAAAAACTTGCCAGCTGTCTACACTGGCCACTTGAATTTTCACAAGATTTCTGGAAATACTATGCTGCTCCCGTTCGGGCAAAAGTCTTTTTCCGAAAGACTTTTGTGCAGAAGGGCCAGTGTAGACAGCACAGTACTGTTTTCTGCAAAAAAGCCCCGATCACAAAAATGGTGATCGGGGCTTTTTTGCGGAAAAGCGCGTCTAGATTGGCCACGGACGCTTTTCCACAAAAAGTGCTTTTCCGGAAAAGCATCCTGC